ATATAATTGTTTCATTTTTTTCTTTTTCTTGTTGTAGTGTAAATTTATCAAGATAAATTTTTAAAAAAATCCAAAAATACAGTTTAACTTAAATGGTTGTACACTCAGAAGTAATCTTGATTTTGCACATTGTAAAAAAATAAATAAAAGCACCTTTAAGTCCTTGAAAACAAACACTTTACCTACTCTGCAAATCACCTTAGCTGTCACACAACACAACATTGGTTCTATTAAGAATTATATTCAATCGCTGCAAAACAAAAATATAAAAACACAAAGCAAATAGAAAATATTTATACTCCCTCTTTTCCTTACTTATACTGAAACATTACAAGGATAATGCAGCGTGTCTAAAACTGTCAACATAAACAAAAACTTATTTGGTCTTACTGTGTGATTCATGTTAAACAGCTGGACCCAGCAGAGATGTCGAACGAACATCAACTTCTGTAGCAAAATATGATTAACTCAGTTTGTRTTTAGTTAAAACTAAGAGAGGTCGTGATCCCATGTCAAGATCAGACGCGAGTAAGCTTAAATCAAAAAGGGGTTAGCCTGTCGSTTTAGCCGTGTTTTCCTTTGTGAGCTGTTGTGGTCGGGATTGCTAAACGGGCTAGCTATCATTAGCATCCGCTAGTTTAGTTAGCATTTCTTTGACAGCGGCGGGGAAAACGCAGCGATTTTCTGTTGCACCCAGAAAAGTAAGGTTACAGGCAAGTCACGCTACCTGTTAGCTTAGTAGGAACTTACCATAAGATCTTGTGCAAGTCAGGAAAAAGAGCCAAGCGGCTGCAACRTAAGTGAAGCGGCAAAATGCTAACTCTGCTACAGGCCAGGGTGTCTCCCTCCTGTTTGCCTTCTTCGTCTGTTTCGAGCTTCAGGCGGAGTACAAACCAACGTCATAGCGCATTACCGCCACCTGCTGTTTGACATGACGTAAGCAGGTCATAACTGCCCCCTTGTGGTTGAAAAATGTTACTACAAATTCTCATTTTTACTCCAGTTCGCTGCAACATTGCTACTTTTCTCAAAACTCTCCGGTCGGTTGGGGATGGGAAAAAATAAAAATAAAAATCATAATAATTAAAAAAAAAAAAAAAAACAGCAGGGATGTTGACCACACTTTGACAAGTGATTATGAAATTATTTGTATTCTACCATCTACACCAACACCATGGCAGAACCAGAGATTCATGTCCTGAAGGGAAATGGTGAACCATTTTGTTGATCTCTTTCCATATCTGAAACTGCTGTAAGTAATGTTGACAGTACAATAAAAATGCTATYATTTACAATTATCCTATAGTTTCACATAATGCATTTATAAAAAAGTCAAAGTCATTCACCCCTTCAAAGTAAATTCTCCAATTCATAATAGGATAAGTCTATTTCATGGCAGACATTTTGACTTGAAATTGTAAAAGTGCAGKTTTACTAATAAAGGCTGCATGTCCCTTCAGCTGCTGCTTGGTTGTTTTGTAAAAATGTTAACAAGCAGTCAGGTTCTTTTTGACAAGATCACAAGGATGCAGACTGACTTAAAGACGAATAAATAGCTGACAGGACAGCAGACTAATACAAAAAAGAAACTAAAACACAGAAAACAAAAATAAAGCTGATGGTGCAGCAGGCAAATGCAAAAGTAACAAACCCACAAGCAGCATGGCAGGCTAAAAAAAAAAGCAAAATGAGAACCATTAGTTTAAGTAAGCTGGGAGGAGTGATTACAAGCAGAGACAGCTGATATGATTAGTCAAGSAGGGACAGGTGAGAGATGAAGAGCAGGCCTGACTGAGGTAATGAAAAGGAAAAATGACCCAGGGAGGCACTGGGAAACTCAATATAAGGAAAATCAAAACAAGGAAATAAGAAAAAGAAGACACAATGACATGGCAATCTAAAGCAAAACCCCACAAATCTACAAAACAAAATACTCATCTATTTATTCACAAAGACACAGGTAAAGTCTTCAGTAATTTATTGTCCATAAACATATTGCGGGCAAATATAGAGAAATCACTGAAAATCAAGAATTGTCACATCTTGCTCTGCCTGCTTAACATTTCATCTTTTCTGTGGATGAAAAGGGAAACAACAGTTTTACACACAGTCTCCCATATCAGAATTAAAACAAACCCATCTCTSCAGTCTCAAAGTGTGCCGAAGAGTCACTCTGTATCTATAAACAACCCATATTTTTACTGCCTTTAAAAAAACGATTAAAATATTGTAGGTCAGGGCAGAGAGTTTTTTTATTTATGTTTTTTCAGATTAAACATTGGAGCAATATGTTTTTGCCCTGACAATGACACAAAAAGTAGCTGTACTTTTACACATTTAAAAAGAATTATGTATTAAAAAATAATTTTAAGACTTACCCAAAATGTCTTGCTGAGTTTAAAGGCAGCAGACAATGTGATTTCCTTCAATGAATAGTGAACTTTCATTTCATAAATTAAAATGAGATTTTAGTTAATATAATTACATGGGCTGTGTTAAATCAGATGTTTTGTTAGATATGGTCATGAGTTTGCATTTTTTGTCATGTTAAATGGGAAAAAGAAGTTTAAAAGTATAAAATAATGTGTGTTTTTACTTTGAGCAACACAGTCCATGATGTGGATTATATATTCAGAAAATAACAAATGCACTAAGATTACAGATTACTAATATCGTCATACAGGAAATGCGGTATACTTTGTAGTTTCAGATTCAAATTCCTGCTTACATTCTTGTTTTCTTGTTTAATGAGCTATTTCAGTAAAAAAAAAGCCTCACAAATTACAAATAATATAAAGAAAACATTTTTTGGGGTGTGAAAGTAACATCATCACGGATGAAATTAGTTCAGTTCAAACCATGTGTTTGGACACAAATATCCTCTGGCTTCCACCAAAGAGTTCTCCAGCACCCTCTGCACCAGTACTTCCCTCAGCTTTGGATTTTGTTCAAACGTGTTTACGTTGTATTAAAATGTATTGAAACAAACATATTTACACTTGACAGACATCCATCTACCCACACAGAAAAAGCTGAGAAGCTGGTGCCCATCGTGACTCCAATAAATATAAACAAATTCACACTGAGCTGTTGTATCATTACAGGAAATAATTAACTGCTCGTTGTTATATAAAGCTAATAGGAGCGTCACGATACAGATTTTTCACTTCCAATACGATGCAGATATTGCCCTGATACGATACCAGGATG